TCTTTCTTTCTTTCTTTCTTTCTTTCTTTCTTTCTTTCTTTCTTTCTCTGTCTTTGTTTGTTATAAGAAGGTCTTGTCTTATAATCCAGACTGGCTTTGAATTCTCGGTGCTTTGGCCTTGGCCTTCCCAAGCCATACAGAGGTTTCTCCTGTCCTTTACTGCAGCCTGGATTCTACCACACCCACCAACTCACATCCAATTAATCCTCCTTCAGGAAGTAAGATGTCAGATGCTCACTGGCCCATCGCAGCACACCCCAGCATTAGCCACACATCATCTTGCTGACTCCTTCTGCTGGATTCTTTGGAGGCAGAGAGACCTGAACTGGTTAAACAAGTTGAGCATCAAGCAGGACTGAATCAATTACAAGGCCCCCAGAGGTCAGCTTCATCTCCAGCTTCTCCTGTGTGAAGGTGTTTTACCCCTCCAGCAGGCTCTTCCACTGTAGCATCGGAGACAAGGAGACCTTCCTGGGAGAAATCTTTCCCAGATAAACATATTAAAACCATGTACACAATCCAGGGGACTGTGTGCTATACCTGTATGTTCTTCATTTAAGGTTGATATTTTAAGAAACAAGTCAATAATGGTCCAGTGGGTTAGCGTCTGGGACCTGGAAAGTCTGGGTTTACCTGTTGACTTTTTTCCTTGCCTTAAAATGCAGGTACTGCTGAGCTGGAGAGTGTACTGCTCCTCCAGAGGTCTAAGGTTCAGTTCTCATGCACATTAGGAGGCTGACAGCCGCCCATAACTCCAGCTTCTGGGGATCTGATACTTACTGGACACCTACACTCATGTGCCCATTCCCACACGCATTTAATTAGAACTCAAATCTTTTGAAATAAATAAATAAATAAATAAATAAATAAATAAATAAATAAATAGTAGGGAGATATGAGTAGTAATAATACCACAGTGTCCCAGTGATAGTGACGTGAGCACTCCAGGAGTGCACGTGTGGCACAGAGGTGTTCGTGTCAGCACTGCCAGGTTTTCAGGGTCCAAGGTTATAGCTGATTTATTATGGGATTGCTTTGCGAAAAGAACCTTGACTATTTCTTAGAAGTCATGACCTGAGAGCTCCTTTGGAGGTTCCAGTGGGGAGCACAGTTGTTTCATTATACCCATGACTGCGAATGCTTTTCTGTCAGGGAAGGTTGTCCTCTTCTTCTGAGTACAGCTTCTGGAGGTACACACATGGAGTACTGAGAGAGGGAGGGTATCCCTGCTTAGCCAGCCAGATCAGCCTAATCAGCCCTGGTGATCAGTGGGGTGACAGATGGCACAGCAAGGGACACAGGAGTCAGCAACAGCCACACAAAGGAGCTGCTTCTCTGGGAGCATTGGCAAGTGGGCAGAGGAAACCACGTGCCCAGAGGCGTAGAGGCATTGGGGTGAAGTGGATATTTGGAGGGCCAGATTTACTCTAGTAAGAAGAGGAGAAAGTGAGGTCAGGAGGTACTCGACAGATAGGCAGGGTCCAGTTATGGTCCTTGAATGTCATGCCAAAGAGCTGAGACTTGTGTCCCCAAGCCTGGGAAGCTGTCACATTTGAGTAGAAGAATGCTGTGGGAAAGGTAAGCGAGCTGGCAGGACAGAAATTTGATGAGGTCTGGCACGGTCTTTAGTAACTGGACTCTGGCTTTTCTCCTTGGCTTTTTTCTACTCCTAACACAATGAAAGTGGTGTGCCAGACAGGATCCTGTGAGCACCCAAGAGCTCTGATGGTTGAGGTGACGTTGGTGCTGGTCCTCGCTTAGAAAACAGCAGGGAGGTAGATCGTCTGCTGAGGATGGCAGCTTTCCTTAATTCAGACAATATTAGAGCTCAGCTGTTTACTCAGAACCTTTCTTCCCTCTGCCCTCTGCCCTCTGCCCTCTGCCCTCTGCCCTCTGCCCTCTGCCCTCTGCCCTCTGCCCTCTCCCCTCCCGTGGTTCAGTTGTTTTACATTTTCTAGACATTTGAGTGCTTAAGGTAGGAAAGCTATTCAGCAGAAAATGATTAAGATATGGTCCCTATCCTCAAGACACTTCTGTAGTTGAGGGAACATGTGTCTAAAAACACCTTTGCACGAAGGTAAGGAGTGGCAAATGTTGCAAGGAGGGCCAGTGTCTGTGGGGCCTCTGAACAGGTGCTGATCGGCTGCTGTCTAGGGTGGGAAATGAGGGTAGAGCTAGGACTGTCCAGGACCTAGGACGAGCCCCTGGTCATTTGTACTGGGATAGAGCCGAGAGGGGAGCCCGTGCTAAAGAGTAGAATGATGGGGGCGGGCCTTAAGGGAATTAAAGGAATTCTGTTGGTTCTGGAAAGTCATTCAGAGATTTCGATACAAAAGTGGTGATGTAGGTGCTATGGTTTCGTTGGGAGCTTAACTGTGTGGGTGCTGTGCTGGATGGCCTGTGGTGGGAGCACAGGGGAAGACACACAGACTAGAGTCACTGAGATCAATTCTTCAATAGACTATGGGCCCAAATCAGGCATCAGAATACCAACACCATAAGGAACTGGGATTGCAGGGCTAGGCTGATGAAAGGGTTATGCTTAGGTGTTCATAGAAGCAGAAGCAAAATACTGTCTTTATTAGAATGGGGACAGCAGGAGAAAAGGAGCCGCCAGACAGAAAGTGACAGCCAGTGGGGACGGAAAGCATCCAATCCAGGTCTGGAGTCAGAGCACACCAGTTTACACTGTGGCCCTTCCACAGCCTCCCCGCTCTGAAGGATCTGGTTTCAGTTTACCCTGTTTTTCTTCCCTTCCTCCCTTTCTCCCCTCTTCCCACTTTTTGTTTGTCTAAGGGGAGCCCCACATTTATGATCCTCCTGCCTCATCCTCAAGTGCTGGAATTGTCAAGCTGTCCGCTTCATTATTAAAGGCAACAGCTCAGCCTGCCTTGCAGGGTTACAGGGAGCATACAGTGCTTTATTGATGCTGAACATTTGTGCCACTGCTTGAAGGATGAGTGGGTAAGTCTGCATATCAGATTTCTAGGCCACTGGATTCCATGTGGAGCTGGGAGGGGTTGCCAGGACTAATAAGAAAGTTTATAAAGTCGTGAGTGACAGTTGAGGCCATAGAAAGAGATAGCTAAAGGGAAAGGTTGGAGGAAGAAGAGGGTCTTTGGTAGGTGGACTGGCAGAGTCTGGCATTCAGGGGATGGGCACAAGGGAGACATCAAGAGATCTCTGGCTGGATGATGAGCAGGGCTGTAGCCATGTAGAATGATGGGAGGCCACTGGTGATGTTTGGTGACAGCAGCTCCTCTAGAAGTGGTCAGTTCAAACACTGGGGCAGAATGTCAGCAAGGGTTGGCTTATCATCTGAGTACCTTGGTGATCACCAGAGTTGAAGAAACAGTTGGTAGCTCAGAGTGTGAGCAGAGACAACAGAGGAGTGGCTTTCCTTTCCTTGCAATAGATGAGCTCACTTTAGGGAACTTGAGAAGGAGGAGGCAGAGGAACAGTCTTGGCCTGGCAAAGTATCTGGGTGCTGAAACAGAAGAGGGTGCTCTGCTATGGGGTTTATTTGGAAGGAATTGAGAGAGGGGCTGAGAGGGTGGTGGACACCGAACCCTGTGCTACACAGAAGCACCTGAACATTGCTGTTCTTAGACTGTAGGAAGCTAGTTGCTCAGTCTTTTCCTGTCTTCCTTCATGTCCTGAGCTCAATTCTTTTTCCAGCTGGTGGCTGGATACAGCACCTGAGCTATCCTAATTAAAACTGTATCTAAGACATACCCTCAGCTCTCTCCATCTTCCTGCCCTCCTTGCTTGCCTAGGGCATTGGAATTTCTTGCTGGATTCCTGCTTCTGGTCTCTTGCTTATTGTCTAGAAGGTATGCCAGTCCACAGCACTCTGACCATGTTGTCCTGCCTGATTCCCACATTTGCTGCAATCTGGTGTCATACCAGCCTCCACTTCGCTGTCGTTCCCCAACACTGTCCTGTTCCTCGCACACCGTGCTTGTTCCTGGTCTCTGGCTGCTCATGCATTGCCACGCTTTGGCTTTGCTTCTCTGGCTTGCTGTCTTTTCTCTGCATGCTCATATCTCAACTTCTGAAGACCCAGTTGCGGTCAACACACTTTAGCTTCCCTCCACGTCCCTAGACCTTGCTTCGGCACATTCTCTTCCTTCAGCTCTTACAAGGTAGTGCACCAATCAAATTGACATTAATTAATTTCTTTATTTCTCCCTTGGGGCTATGAGCTCACTGAGGGCACCTATATCCCGGCACCCAGTATGAAGCTTGGCATAACTTCAAGGAGAGGCTCAGTGACTCGTGAATGAATTTATCCAGTGCCCTACGAGGGGAAGCTGTGGCCCTGCCACATTAACTCTGTGTGTGCCTGCCTTGTTGCTGTTTTTCTGCAGTGCCAAGAGAGACTCTGTTTAGGTAGAGTTGACTGGCTTGCTTATTAACAGGCTGGTTGGTCAGGACTCCCTCTCCTGCTGATGTCTGTTCTCTTGTCACCAGATGGGACTGAGTACGGGCTGAGTGAAGCTGACATGGAGGCCTCCTACGCCACAGTGAAGAGCATGGCGGAGCAGATAGGGGCTGATGTCATCCTCTTACGAGAACGTCAAGAAGCGGGCGGCCGAGTGCGTGATTACCTGGTCAGGAAGCGAGTCGGAGACAATGACTTCCTGGAGGTCAGGTAAGGTCTCAGAACATTTGCAGGGGCCCTGCTGTATGACTTGGGGTCTTCACAGGGGGTGTGGTAGGGCCTGTGACACTTGTCTGTCAGCTCTGCCTATGCCTAAGGTGGAAAAGTACAGGGACTCATGATCTTGGTGTTTCTGCTCTTTGTTTCTGAGTTCCATCTCCAGTATTTCATCTGGAATGTGTGGGAGAAGGCCAAGCCATGCATTCTGTGGCTACCCTGTACCTCTGTTAGTTCACCGTCTGCTTGGGATGCTAGAAAGCTTAGCAGATGCTTTGTGCCTTTCATAACTCTGGGAGTGCTCTCAAAGCAGAGGGTTAGGGTTGTTGGTGTTAAAGAAGCCAGGACTCCTGACTAACTTGGTGTTCCTTGGGTCCAGCTCCAAGAACATCTCCCACTGTGCTCCTCCTGAAGAGAAGCCTTGAGCCAAGGTACTGGGGTGAGCCTGTGCTCAGGGCCCAGTCTCTGGCTGAGTGGTCTTCAGGAACTAGCTCTCACATCAGGTTCATGTCCATGCAGGGTGGCAGTGGTGGGCAACGTGGATGCTGGCAAAAGCACACTCCTGGGAGTCCTAACACATGGGGAGCTGGACAATGGCCGTGGCTTTGCCCGCCAAAAACTCTTTCGCCACAAACATGAGATTGAATCTGGTCGAACCAGCAGCGTGGGCAATGACATTCTGGGCTTTGACAGTGAAGGCAATGTAGTGAACAAGCCTGACAGCCATGGCGGCAGCCTCGAGTGGACAAAGATCTGTGAGAAGTCCTCTAAAGTGATCACCTTCATTGACTTGGCTGGCCACGAGAAGTACCTTAAGACCACTGTTTTTGGCATGACTGGGCATTTGCCTGACTTCTGCATGCTCATGGTAAGTGTGAGCTTCCCCCACCAGGGGGTCTGGGGATGCTAGGCAAGTGTTTGGGGTCGTTCTGAGACTGGGGCCTGCTGGTGAGGGTAAGTTTGGGGTCTCAGGGAGCCCTTGTCCTCTGAGCTCTGTGGTCTTCTCCACAGGCAAACCTTGACCTTTCTCCTGGATTTAGAGCAGAGACTCCATACAAAGCACAGTACCTTCCAGATTTCTGTTCTGGAAAGGCATAGAGGCTTTCTCCTTATTTTGTGCCTTCAGAATGTTTTCTCCTTCACCTTGGGGCACTTTGAGAGGGTGACCCCAGATGGCACTCTGAGATCAACCTGGGAAAGAAAAGGGCACCTCACATCAGAAACCAAGAGCAGCAGTCAGCAGGCCCTGAGGTAGTGTCTTCAGTGCTGTGAAGGAGATACGGCAGCCATTGTACAGCTCTTTTTGGGAAGCTGCTATGGGCCTGGCCTTGTGCTTTCCTGGTGGCATGCACAGTGGGAAGTAGGCCTCCGTGGTCCTAGGGCTCACCGAGAGTTTGGGATTGGACGCTTGAGCAGCGCGTCATGTAACATCCCTGAGAAAGAGAACGGCAAAGGCTTGGCTTTGCTGTGTGCACACACGTGCTCTGCTCAGCTCCTGTACCGCTTCAGGGGAGCTGGAGGGAGGAAGAGAGTGTGCACCCATGCACAGCAAGAGAGTTTTCCTGTCACAAGTCCTAAAGCCCCTCCATCCTCCTGTTTCCTCAGCTGCCTGTGCTAATAAGTGTGGTAAACACAGGCATCTGTTCCTAGGAAACTTGCTCAAGTTGCCCCACAAGCAGGTTCTTAGGCCAAGCCTGAGACTGGAGAGGAGGGGGAGCAGCATGTGCTGTAGGGACACCCCTCCCTGTCCCCCTGCTCTTCACCGAGGAAAGCTGCTGTTCCAAAAGGCATCTGGAAGTCCATAGGGGCCATTAGGCTGTGGCTGTTAAGAAGAATTTGGAGGGTGAGGAAGATGTCTCAGTGAGTAAAGGGCTTGCCATGCAAGCCTGGTGACCTGAGTTTGTTCCCAGCACTCACATAAAGATAGAGGACTGACTGTATCTAGTTGTCCTCTGACCTGCTACATGTGTGACTCACAGACGAATAACAATTTTACATTTTTAAATCTTAATTTTCTGTGTCTGGGTATTTTGCCTGCATATATGTCTATGTACCACGTGTGTCAGTATCCTCAGAGGTCAGACAGGGGGATCAGATTCCCCAGAGACTAGATTATAGACAGTTGTGAGCTACCTAGTGGATCCTGGGAATTGAACCTGGGTCCTCTGGAAGAGGAGCCAGTACTCTTAGCTGCTAAACCATCTCTCCAGTCTGTAATAATAATAATAATAACAACAATTATTACTATTATTTTTCAAATCCTACCCTGAATGTATTTTTTATTTTAATTTTATTTTGTTTTTGGTTTTTCGAGACAGGGTTTCTCTGTGTAGCCCTGGCTGTCCTGGAACTAGCTCTGTTAGACCAGGCTAGCCTCGAACTCAGAAATCCGCCTGCCTCTGCCTCCCAAGTGCTGGGATTAAAGGCATGTGCTGTGTTTTTTAAATATGAAGGGTTTAGAAACCAACATTTTTTTTCTTTTTTGTTTGTGTTATAATAAACTAGCATGAGTAATAACTGTACTACTTGTGAGGTCCAGTGTATTTCATCGTGTGTGCAGTGTGATTGACCCACATGAGCTAGCTAGCATCTCTGGAGAGACATGTTCCTATTGGACCATAGCCTAGTGCATCTCCTCATTGTGTCTTAGAGACTCACGTTCTTTGGACAATAAAAAGCCTTTTATAACTGATCTGTAAGAGTAAAGACAATGACGGATTAATCTTCACCCTAAACCACATTTTTCTGTCTGAGTTGTAGGCCATCATCAATTTATTAGACTTTTCTAGACAGTGGTATAACCTTAATTATTTCAAACATTATTTTTAATGATGGTTCTTAAACGCTCTAACCTCCCTTGTAGCCCTCCACCCACCAGAGGTAGTGAAAAGGAAAGGACGTCGGGGGTGAGGGGTGGGGTGGGCCTGTTTGGAAAGTTCTTTGAAGCAACTCCTGCCTGTGTTGTCTGGAAATCAGCAGTTCAGTTCACAGGTTAGCAGGCAGCAGCTCCTCAGGCCACTTGTAAACACTTCACAGGTACACCAGCAGTCCTGTTTCGTAGAGTCAGGTTAGCAACAGCGCTGATACGACCCAGCAGAGACAACCAGGCCTCGGTCTCGGCTTGAGTCAGCAGGAAGGACCAACAGGAACACCTGGAGAAGCTGTGCCTTTCTCAGAGAAGCGAAGATCAGCGAAGACCCGAGACCCACAAGCGTTGTACAGCTAGCTCTACCAGCAAGCCAAGCTGTCTCTGTCACTTCATTGAGTCTTACACTCTCTAAACAGCACCTTGCCTCAGCACGCGTCTTGTCTTAGCACCTGCATCCAGTCAGCCCAAGTCCTCAGAAGTGGCAAGAAACTGCAGCACACCACCAGAGTGTTTTTGGTTCATTTCACTCTATGGAGCCCCGACAAATGTAGCCTAACTACACAATGTGCGGTGGACCAATACATGCATGCCGTTAGCAAAGAATCCTTCATCACGTGTCCTTTCACGTGCTTGCTTTAGCAGAACATCCCTCATAAGTATGCCTTAGTCTTTCATGTCTGTGTCCACTTTAGTGAAACGTTCCTTCACATGTTTGCCCCAGCAAAATACCATCCAGCCGACTTTCTAGAGAACCCTCAAGTTTCCACTTCACAGCAGAGAAATACCTGAGCATGGTGATGGCTCATGCCTAGAATCCCAGCCCTTGGGAGATGGAGCCAAGAAGATCAGGGCTTTAAGGCCAGCCTGGGTTACATACCAGTACTGTTTCTTTTTCTGGAGCCCTGCAGGCACTGGGAGTGACTAAAAGCTACACAGTGAAGGCGTCCTGGCATGTTCAAAGTGCTACACAGGCACAGGATGGCAATTTCTCCCCTATGTCTATTTTAGTAAGCATTCTCTTGCATAATACACAAAAATCAATGATGAGAGCCAGCTCAGTGACTGAAGGTGTCTGCTGCCTAGCCTGACACCAGGAAGCATCCCTCGAAGAAACCATGCCCACAGTTTGTCCTCCATTCTCCAGACATCACGGCAACATGCCTCACCCCTCCCGGGCCCCACCCATGCTCATGTACACACTAACTTCTTTTTTTTCTTCTTCTTTTTTGAGATGATTTTACTGTGTAGCCCTTGCTAGTTTAGCACTTGTTATGTAGACCAGGCTAGCCTCAAACTCACAGAGATTCACCTGCCTCTGCCTCTATCTCCCAAATTCTGGGATTAAAGGTGTCTGTCACCATGCCCAACATAAATATGATTTTTAAAAAAGCAACAGAAAGGACGTCTCTTCTTTGTTTCCTGCCAGAGGCAGCCAGTAGCTTTGATTTCTTGTGTTCCTGCGAGAGACACTTTTTGAAGGTTTATTTAGTTTTTATTTTCTGTTTATAAGTATTTTGCCTGCATGCTTGTATTTGAACCATGTGTGTGGTATCATTGAGCCGTAAGAGAGTGTAGGAGCTCTTGGAACTGGAGTTGTTAAGTTGTGAGCCACCATGTAGGTACCAAGAACTGAATCTCTGGAAGAGCCACCAGTGCTCTTAGCCCCTGAGCCCTCTCTCCACCACAGAGAAACTGCTCATATGGCAGGTGTCCCATTGTGATGTCAAGTATCAGGCGACCTTCTAAAGTAGAAGTGGTCGGCCAATGATATGTTCATTGCAGTCCAAGAATGTTAAACTGAATGCACTTTGGGGAGCGTGGATGCTGTGCTTCCCAGACTGTTTGAATTGTCTGTTGTTGTTTGTAAGACTCCTCTGGGTTTTTTGCTGTTGGTTTGATTTGAGTTTTTGTTTGTTTGGTCTGTTTTTTTTGCAGTACTGAGAACTGAACTTGGGTCTGTGGTGCACAGTCTACCTCTAAGCTACAGCCTTTTGTTACTTTTTTTTCTTTCTTTCTAGAAAGGGTGTCATTAAGTTTTCCATGCTGGTTCAGAAGGTTCTCTGTAGCCCAAGCAGGCCTCAAGCTCTGGCTTCTGAGTGGCTGGGGCTGCAGGCTTTGTCACCAACTTTTCAGGTTAGGTCCACATCACCAGGGATTGGTTAAATGAACTGTGCCCTACCCAGCTTTCACTAGTGGGCTGGGGTCCACTGACCGCCCAGCAGGCTCTTCCTTGTACTGACAGTTCTTTTCTGTTGTGGCAGGTGGGCAGCAATGCTGGCATCGTGGGGATGACCAAGGAACACCTAGGCTTGGCATTGGCACTCAATGTACCTGTCTTTGTGGTTGTTACCAAGATTGACATGTGTCCTGCCAACATCCTTCAAGGTAAGTGAAGCCTCCAGCCGCAGCAGCCTCTGGGGTTGACACTGCATTTCAGGGCGGATTGCTTCAGAGCCTCAGACAGTACCTTTTGCATCCTTGTCTGTGCTAGATTAGCCTCGGTGTCCATCAGCCAGAGTCTGTTGCTTCTTCTTCTCCTCTTTACCTCTTGACTAGAATTTCCCTCCTGGTTCCAAGTGCAGGATCTATGGAATCTCTAGTCTGCCACCCCTCCCCCACACTCATTATGTCCCCAGTGGCAGGCATTGGCTGTACCATTGAAGCAGGATGTGTATGGAGGAATTTGGGCAAACAGTCTGGTGGCCTTTAGCCACCAAAGCTTCTGCACACAGAGGCTGTGGGACTAGGCTTCTGCATCTCTCCTCTTCCTTGGTGCTGCAAGTCGAATGGAACATTGTCCCATTAGAAGTTCTCATAAGAATGGTCTCGGCAGCCTTCAATCTCAGCACTCAGAGGCAGTGGATCTCTTTTGAGAGTTCTGTGCTAGCCTGGTCTACATGGTGAGTTCTAGGACAGCCAGAAATATACAGAGAAACCATGTCTCAAACAAAAGAAAAAGCAAAAGGGTCTCTGCAGATTTATGAATGCCCAGAATATTCCTGAGATGAGACCTTCCAGGAAGCAGAGCATTGTGGGAAAGAACATTGTCCTTGGGAACCCAAGTCACTTGTCTGTGTCTAGACTCATAGCCTTAGAGAAGAGACCCATGTGTGCTCTCTGTATGCTGGCAGCATGTGCTCACCCATCTTTGATCATCCTTTTTACTTCTCCAGGCGTTGTTGCATTTAACACTGGTCCATCTGTCTGTCTGTCTCCTGCTTGCATCAGTATTGAGTGCACCTGTCTTACCCTGGAAGTCTGGCCAGAGAGAAGGCTGTGTCCCCTAATTCTGTTCCATTTCACCCTTTAAGAAACCCTGAAGCTGCTACAGCGCCTGCTGAAGTCACCAGGCTGCCGGAAGATCCCTGTCTTGGTGCAGAGCAAAGATGATGTGATTGTCACAGCTTCCAACTTCAGCTCTGAGAGGTAATGGGGACAGGACTAAAGGGTGGAGAAGCACCTGCTTCTAAGCAGGCACCCTTGCCACACCAGGCAAAGTAAGCTATAGGCCTGAAGCAACCAGTCAGGCATGAGGTCCCGTGGGCATGGCTGGAGGAAATAGAGGTTGTCTTTGCCTTCTCCTAGACCAGCACTGTTGTTTGGAGCTTGTATCATGTGGCTCACATTCCGAATCACTGGCCTCTCGGGTTGGAGTACCAGTTGGGTCATCAACATCCTTACCTAAGAAGTGGGGATATTATTAACTTCCTGGACTAGCCAGGGTTCTCTAGAAGCACAGAACCAATGGAATGAATATATACCCCATGGGATATTAGGTTGGATTACATGGTACAGGCTGACTAGTCCAACAGTGACTGTCTGCTTGATGGAGAGGCTGAAAACTTCATAGCTGCTTCCTCCACAAGGCTGAATGCATCCTAGGTTCCAGTCTGGAGCTGAAGGCTTCAAGGATACCTGGAGAGCTGCTGCTCTTTTATCCATGTTACAAGGCCAAAGAAGCTGGGTTGTGATGTCAGTGAAGGGAGACAGCCATGGTGGCTATGGCAGTAGGTGCACTCACTAGCAAGGGACAGGCAAAGGCTGTGCTGCTTCCCCTTGGCCTCTTTGTTTATTTTTACTTTATTTTTTGTGTGTTTGCTTTTCTGAGACAGAGTCTCTCCACAAAGCTCTGGCTGTCCTGCAACTCACTTTGTAGACCAGGCTGGTTGAACTCAGATCTTGAACTCCTCCAGAGTGCTAGAATCAAGGCATATGCCACCATGCCTAGCCTTCTCTCTTGGATTCCTTCGTATCTGTGCTAAGTGCTCTGAGTTGACCACTACTAGAGGAACTGCCATCACAAGCATTACTGAGGCCTCCCATCATTCTATGCAGCTACAGCCCCGCCCACCTTTGAGAGGAGCTTCCTTACACAATTGCTTCTTCCCAGAAATAGCCTCGACTCCATCCCACACTTGTTTCTCATTGATTCTCGATCCAGTCTACTTGGCAACCATAATTATCCCTCATGCTTCTCTGAGGGTGCTTGGGCTCTGGACATCCTGAGCATAGAAGGCAGGAGCCTGTGGCCAGCTGGTGGAACACTGTCTTTTTATGACTCATTGACTTTTTATGCTGTTTCTCAAAAGCCCTCTAATCACAGTTGGTTTTGCGTTTATTTAGTGAGTCTTTTCATTGCATAGATGTTTCCTAGGCGTTTGTTGTACCAGGCTCTTCTTCCGGATGTTCATGCATCTGGATTCTAGAGATTAACTTGAATACGATCCAAAGCTCTTCAGCTCATTGGTCCAAGACCATCTTTTTGTTGTTTTTGTTTGTGTGTTTGTTTGAGACAGGGTGTCTTCGGGTTTTAGTGCTGTGAAGAGACACCATGACCAAGGCAACTCTTAGAAAGACAACATTTCACTGAGGCTGGTTTACAGTTTCAGAGGTTTAGTCCATTATCATCATGGCGGGAAGCGTGGCAGCATGCAAGCAGATGTGGTGCTGGAGGAACCAAGGGTCGTACATCTTGACCCAAAAGGCAGAAGATTGTGTCACACTGGGCGTAGTTTGAGCATAGGAGACCTCAAAGCCCACCCCCACAGTGACACACTACTCCAACAAGGCCACACTTACTCAAACAAGGCCACACCTCCTACTAGTGCCATTCCCCATGGGCCAAGCATTCAATACATGAGTCTATGAGAGCCTGACTTACTCAAATCACCACATGGGGTTTCTCTGCATTACCTTGGTTCTGGCACTCACTCTGTAAACCAGGCTGTGCTTGAACTCACAGAGATCCGACTGCCTCTGCCTCCTAAGTGTTGGGATTTAAGATATGTTCCACTACCTCCACACTCCAAGATCATCTTTTGATAATGGTTCCTTCCCTTTGGCTAGAGCCAGGGCCTCATTGGGAGCAGCCTGCTTCCTCACTTGGTCTGTGCTTTAGAGCAGCCTGGCATTTTGCCTATTTCTCTAGCCTGGTGCTGTGTTCAGCACCAGCAGTTGTCCAATGAGATGCTGCGTTTCAGGGGTACCTCCTTTGAGACTAGCCTGTGAGGCATTCAGGAATGTATAATCCTGATCTCAAGACAAGTCACAAAGAGTAAAGCCTAAGGGACTAGGTGACAGATGGCAGTCTTGGCTTCCTGAGCACCTCTCTTCCTTATTTCTTTTCCATTCAGGATGTGCCCGATATTCCAGATCTCCAATGTCACAGGTGAGAACCTTGATCTGCTCAAGATGTTCCTCAACCTCCTGTCCCCCCGCACCAGCTACAGGGAGGAAGAACCTGCTGAGTTCCAGATAGATGACACCTACTCTGTTCCCGTGAGTGCCTCTGGCTAGGACTGCACAGGGTGGGCGGCTGGTGGGCACCTCCTATTCTAACCTGGAAATGAATCTGTGGTGGGGATGGGTGTACTAGGCTGGGGTCTTCTCCTTGGCAGGGTGTGGGGACAGTGGTGTCTGGGACCACACTGCGGGGCCTGATCAAGCTGAATGACACACTGCTGCTGGGCCCAGACCCCTTGGGTAACTTCATGTCCATTGCTGTCAAGTCGATCCATCGCAAGCGTATGCCTGTCAAGGAGGTGCGGGGGGGCCAAACAGCCTCCTTTGCATTGAAGAAGGTGAGTGAGGGTAATTTCAGAAACTCTTCCTGAACTCTACTAAGTCTGGACCATGGAGTCTGCTGTCTTCAGTTCTTGTGGCTGCATTGCAGAGTGTGAGTTTACTGACCCTGTTTTCACAGAGGAGGAGACTCAGGCTCCTAGTAACCTTTCCAAGCCAGGACTCGTCCCTGGGACTGTCTGTCCTGTGGGCTCTGCTCCTCCCGCTGTGGCCTGAGCATTTATCACTTGCAGTGCAGTCAGATAGGCGCATCCCTCCTGCACATGGTGCTGTCGTTCCTAGAGTACGGATGGGTGGGATCTGTGCCACATACTCTTGCTGCTCCATGAGTGCTAGTAGCTCTGGGACCACCTACCTTCCTATAAACCAAAATGACCAGGAAGAGTAGTGACATATGATTTGTTTATGCATTTCTTATTTCTTCCTGAGTGCTTGCCTGCACCTCACGCCCAGCAGCTGGAACGCCGAGTTCCTGTGCAGTCTTTTCCTGCCTTCTAGTAGCTATGTTTAGCTTGCTGCCTAGCACTGAGGCTGCCTTGTGCTGTCCACATTAGATAGTAGTAAGGGGCAGGGCTGAGTTGGAGTGGTTCCCACCCCTAGAGAGACATGTTGCTCTCTAGGACCAGGCTGGGTAACCCTGAAAGACACCTTCGGTCCTTGAGCTGTGCTCACCTCTTTCCTTTCAGATAAAGCGCTCGTCCATCCGGAAAGGCATGGTGATGGTTTCCCCACGCCTGAATCCCCAGGCCTCCTGGGAGTTTGAGGCTGAGATTCTTGTCCTCCACCACCCCACCACAATTAGTCCACGATACCAAGCCATGGGTAAGTGTCCAAGATCCTGCCAGCCCCAGAGGTTCTGTGCTAGCATCCTCCCAAAAAAGCTCCTCAATCCGAGCCCAGTGCCTCCAGCTTCAGGCTGTTTAGCAAAGCCATCCCTATAGTTTATTCCCTGAGAGCCACACCTGTCCTCAGGCACCTCATGTGCCAGTACTCATTTAGCTGGGGTTGTTGAGCATAACTGTGTGCCTGGTAGTATCAGGAACAGTCCTGTGGGAAGGCATATGTGTACACAGAGACACTCAAGCCCTGCCACGAAGGCCTGGGAAGGGCTGAGAGGAGGAAGGGTCAGGATCAGACCTCAAAGTAGGCCGTCTTGCCGTATCCGGTTCTCAGAGTTCTTGTCCTACCCTGGGGATTGCACTGTAGCTCGAGGCCACAGGGTAGGTCATGCTTGTCCTGATGCTGGTTGTCATGGCAGTACACTGTGGGAGCATCCGGCAGACAGCTACAATTCTGAGCATGGATAAAGACTGTCTGCGCACAGGAGATAAGGCCACTGTCCACTTCCGCTTTATCAAGACCCCCGAGTATCTGCACATAGACCAGCGATTGGTGTTCCGGGAAGGACGAACCAAGGCTGTTGGCACCATCACCAAGGTACTATGGGTAGCCACACCTGCCCAAGGAAGCTTCACTTGGCTCTAGTCCAGTAACCATGGGTACCACAAGCTCCTCTTGAGAACCCTGGGGTTGTCTTCATTGTGGGACAGAGGTGTGGTCTCTGCCCTGGCAGAGCTGAGCCAATACTAGGATAGGGCTTCAGGAATGATTTTGCTGGCTCAGGATTTGTCCCTAGGCCTGTCTTGAGCATTGGAGACTGTCTTGAAGAAGGTAGCATTGGAGTATGGTTCTCCTCCATAGGAGGCAGTGGGTCAGTGCCTGGGGGGCCAGAGTTGGCCTCTGGGTCCTGGGGCTTGCTTGAGACTGCCTGAGGGCTTCCCACAGCATGGTAGATTATTTGGAGTGAGTACTGGGTGTCATGGGCACATGAATGACATGGTTGGAAGGTCCCATGGTGCTTGAGGTTTTTCTGGAAACCCCTTTTTGCCTGCTGTGGACTTTACCCAGGATCTTGGGTGGAACATTGGTAGAGAATTTGACTGCTGCCCCAGTTAGAGGAAGACATGGCTTCCATGTCTGAGACTGGAATGAACCTCAGACTGCCTTTTCTTCCTGAAAAACTTCCCTCAGGCTGTCCTGGAAGAGCTGGGCTTTTTGACAGTGTGGTATAGGCTACAGTACCTACTGTGGTGTCCTGTGGAACCCAACCACTCTTCTCCCCTGCTGTCTTTGAGATTGAACCTGGGTCACAGGGAAGATTCTGAGTCAGTTCCTCCTAGCTGATAGCTTTTATGATATCTGACAGACGTTTATTTTGTTTCTTCAGGTGGTCTGAAGTTAAAGTATGGTCCATAGCAGGCTCTGGACAGCCTAGACTCTGGCTCGGTAGCTGGGCTAAGGATAGGGTGGCAGAGGTTCAGAGAGCTCTCTGCAGGAGTAGCAGCTGGACCCAGAAAGGGCAGGATCCTTTCCAGGCAGGGAGAGGCAGGCTGAGGCATCATTACTGGTCCAGTGGTCCTGGACTCAAGTGGGAGGTCTCTTTGCTCTGCATTCTGGGATGGCCCTGCCTCGCTCAGACTGGGCAGGCAGCGCTGACTTCTTGCTATCCACCCGGCTTCCACAGCTCCTCCAGACAACCAACAACTCCCCGATGAACTCCAAGCCCCAGCAGATTAAAATGCAGTCCACAAAAAAGGGTCCCCTGAGCAAACGAGAAGAAGGAGGTCCATCTGGTGTGCCAGCGGCAGGGGTCCCCCCAACTGGAGATGAAGCTTCCTTGCTAGGGACTGCACAGGCTGCCACATCCAGTGGTCTCCAGCCACAGGTAAGCAGGGCCTCTTGGCTTCTGGCATGGTGGTGGGAGCAGCAAGGCTGATAATCTAACTGGTCCTGATTGCCATTCGATTTTAATTAAATAAAGCAGAATAGAAAAATGTCAAGGTTCCCCTTTTCCTTTTTGTTGTTTTGATTTTTTTCTTTTTTTCTTTTTTTTTCTTTTTTTTGGATAGGCTTTCACTGTATAGCAGACTGGCCTGAGATTCACTATGTAGGTTAAACCAGCCTTGAACTCGGGGCAGTCCTCCTGTCCACCTCAGCTTTTCTGATGCTAGGTCACACGGAAGATCCACCATGCCCAACCAAGGCTTCCCCTTCATAGTAAGAATATCTGTGGGTATGCTGGTGCTGTGTGTGACTGAGACACTGCCCTAGAGGCTCTTGATGCACCTGTTGACATGAGGGAGGTGGCCTCGTTAGGTCATTGTACTGTCACTCCATTGGCTCACCTGCCTTTCCAGTTCTTTCCTGACCTAACAGAGGCCTAGTACTAGTCTCCCTGATGCCTGTCCTGTGTGTGTCTGTTACTACTGCACAGGACTAGTGTTCCTCTCTCCACCTCCTCCTCATTCTCTCTCCTTCCCCCTTGTATCCTTGACCCTTAGTGTGACATCCGAGTCCCCTCCAGTGAGCAGCAGTACTCGCTGACTCCTGTTCCCCGTGTGCGTCTCTGACTAGCCCCCCACTAGTACCACACAAATCCATGTCTGCCGGGGAGACTCCATTTCCCCCTCTAAACTGACCAGTTCGGGCTGCTGCCTGCTCCACTACCTGGTCCTGCTTCAGAGGGCCAGCACTTCTCAAATGCCTGCTTTCTTCTTTTAGCCCAAGCCCAGCAGTGGGGGCCGGCGACGAGGGGGCCAGCGCCACAAGGTGAAGTCCCAGGGGGCCTGTGTGACTCCTGCCAGCGGCTGCTGAATGTCCCCTGGTCCACTTGACCACCATGGGATCCTCACTGCTCACTGGGAAGAGACTCTTTGACCGCCACCCGCCCACTCCAGTCCACAGCCAGAGCGTCCTTGTTGCCACACCCCGATTTTCCAGGGGGGATCGTAATTTATAAGATGAGGAGGGACTAGATGTCAAGGACTGACCGTTTGCCACCTGCCACCCTCCGTACTCACAGCTTTCTGGGCCCTTAATTTCTATCTTTTTATTATATATTTGTCCCAAGTGTGTGTGTGTGTGTGTGTGTGTGTGTGTGTGTGTGTGTGTGTGTG